CCCCAAAACCCCAAAACCCCAAAACCCCAAAACCCCAAAACCCCTTTATCATAATTTTATTTAAAATTATCGAGAAATTTATTCCTTGCCTAGAAAGACTTAACCTTACTAGAACAAGACTTTAGTGCGGTTAAATAGGGTAGATAGGGCTATGATCTGGGAAGCTGGATGATTTCGATTACTTCTTCGGAAGACTCGTTAGGCAACCCGTCCGTGAGGTCTCTCTCAGACTGCATTAAGTGTCCGGTTTGGGAAACTGATCTGCAATTGTCTGAGATTGTAGAGATACTGTCATTGAAAGTAGATCCCTCTGTATTAGAGATGTTGGATTTTGTATTTTCAGAATCTGTGGATTCGTAAATCCTTAGGATATCTGAAAGACCTTCGCTAATCTTACGAATGCGAGACATCTTTAGTTTATTTACACTTATTTCCCTTTCTTCTCTTCTTCTTTGACTTCTTAGGCACTTCTAAAAAGTTCGAACTCTTCTTGGTTCCTTCATTTGAGCATTTGAAATTCTCGTCAATATTATAGAACGACTTGGACTGCTTCTTATGATACTTTTTCCTCACAATTTCAATCTCAGATTTTGCACCTAAAAGACCAATATCAGCAACGCTATTCTCGCGTTTGTAAATTTCTTCTAGTGAGCCAAACCTCTTAGGAACTGCGAAGACTTTTCCTTTGTGAACTTCGCTCTCAAGAAGGTGCTGGCATTTCTCCAGCTCCTTCTTGCTTGCAATAAGGTACTGAAGGGATTTCCAAAGAGTTGTTTGTAGTAAGTTCCAGTCATTCTCGATTAAGACCATAATCTCTTGTCTCTCTATAATATTTTGACTGACTTTGTCTTCTCGAGGTACAAATTTAATTATTTCCTCGATGTAAGGCACATTATACTGTGACTCGTTAAATTTAGCCGCTCACAGCAAGCAGCTGATTGCTGTTGGAATAGGTGAACATCTAACCTTCTCTAAAAATTGGAGATAGACCGTAAATGCCAGATGAATAGTGCAAAGTGAGAGACTGAAATGCTCCCTCAACTCTTTGTTCATGAAGTCAAAGATCTCTACGTCCTTTAGAGTCAGCTTATTTGATTGTAAAGTGATCAGAGAGGTCCAGTCTTCCTAACAACTTCTTGAGCTGTCCATTTTCGCGTTGGGTTCAGAGGTTAAGCTGGGAATCGATCGATATTACAGAAAGTTGGTTCATATTCACCGATATTTCATTGCTGACTGTCATGTCCTCTGCTCAAATCTCGCCTGAGCTAGTGTCTAAAAGCACTGGAGAGTCTTGCCCCTCACTATCAGTGCAATCAAATGACTCCAGGCATACTTCAACCTGAATGTCGCCTCTTTGCAGAAAATGTGCCATTGATGTGAATTTTTGCAAATTAAATTTTATTCTGTTAAAAAATTTCAAATTCTCAATTTTGCCAAACCCGTAAGGGGTTTTGGGGTTTTGGGGTTTTGGGGTTTTGGGGTTTTGGGG